AAAAACGAAGTGATCTAGGAGTTCACAATGTAAATCAAGATGATTTCATCTGGATTTTTTTAAAAAAAAAAAGAAGCACAAAATTCTCTTTTATAATTGGGTGGCAATTTTTTGTTCACGGAATTTGCTTGGTTCCTTAGAAAGAAAGCCTTTTTTTTTTTCAGATTCAACTATTGTAACATCAGACATTTTCATTTCAATTTAGTGAGCAACATTTTCTGCAACCACATCTAAGTTAATTCTAAGCAGAAAAAAGGTATCAAAACTAAATGTGCAATCTTCACTTTGTCTGAAAAGAAATCTTGGGCTGTGCAATTTGCTGTTTGACATCACTGATTTTCAAGGGTCTACCATGGTCCAAGTTGCCCTTCTAGGAAATCTAAGGCAATTAATCACAGTTGGTGCTGAAGGCAATTTTATTATTTGCATTTCTAGGAAAACAGATCTGTTAAAGACTAAACAGATATACCGTTCTGGAGGGGAAAAGATCAGTGACATAATCATTAACTGCCTTATTTTATTTGAACAATTACAGAAGATATTGAAAACATCAGTGACTTTACTCAGGAAAATAAACTGTCGATCTTCAACTAATGGATAGTTATAGAAAAATATTGTGATGTTTTTGCTGGGGCCATTTTCTCCACAAAATGAGACAGATATTAAAAAGTAAAGTAAAACAAAGAAGACGGTTGAATTGTGAGCAGCCTTTATGGGCAATCTTTTTCTTCAATCACTAAAATGTGCTTTCCCCTATTTTGACATTTTAATGTAATGATATAACTTGTATTTAGCCTTTCCTTCCAATGTTTCAGGTATATCATAATGTTTACATATTCCAATACACATTTTTATGTCCAAGATGCCTTTTTAAAATTCCCAGTCATGAGAAAAGTATATATATTGAGCTTGAGAAATGGGCTTTTCCTAAATTATTGCTATAAGTGACACAGGCTGTTCAGCAAAAGACACTGTAGCATGAACATTTAGTGCTGAAATGTAGTTTTCATTTGATGATTTAGGACACACTGTTTGTTAATATTAATTATAATATGCTAAGAGATTATACCATCGTTCCCAAAGGTGATGGAAGTGCTATTCCCAGAGCACCATGTTAGCTGGGAATCATGGGAACTGTAGGCTCAAAACACCTGGAGGAAGCCAAGTTGGGGAAGGATGGAATAAACTGTGTAGTTTTAATTCCATACTGATTTCAAACAAAATCCTTGTTGCAAAGACCATCTTAAAAGTATTTTTCCTATGCTTGTTTACACTGAATGAAATTTTCTTTGTATAAATTAAATACGTCAAAATTGTGAACGTGTCAGTTATCATTAAAAAATAATCTAAGCTATTTACTGTATATGATGATGTAGTAAGTCTCAAAATATATGAATCATGGTAATGGAACAAACAGCGTGAGAGTAAAGTTACTTGCGCATCTGTTTGTTAGAAAAAAAAGCAAAATGTAATATGGTGGTGATGCTTACAGTTGACTGCTTCCATGAAAATATTGCTGGTACTTTTCTATGCTGCGAAAAATGACACATTTTGACACTAGGAAAGGTATACCGAAATAGATCATTTTAGTATATTCCAATAATAAAATGCACTGTGACTGGCACTCATTCAAGGATATTCTAATTTCCCAAGAAACTATAACAAAAATGAACAGAAACAATAGTGGATATGTTGGCCATGAGGAAAAAAAACAGCTTGCAATTATTTTGTAAATCTTCAGTTGGCCTAACAAAAATATTACCTTTATAGGTTTTTATTGTTTTCCAATAAGAAGAAAAGAAAAAATTACAGTGACTGAACAAATCAGTTTAAATAACTTAGGTACCTTAAAGATCATATTTATAGATGAAATGTTAACTAATAAGTGCATAAATCAAAATGTTTACCTTGCATACATGGACTCTACAGAGAAATCTGACCCATTGTATTTCAATGTCTTTTTGAATGATTCTGTACAACCTCCCATCCTTATCTTTGTAGATAATTGTACTTGCCACTTGAGAAAACTGTCAATGCATCTCACTAAATAAGGTGAAGTCTATTAAATATACACCAATAAGGAATTGTTACCCTGTAAGGCATCATCTGCCTTTTTCTTTCTTCTTTTTCTATTAAACATGTTCTCCTGTGAATCTTGAAATAAAAAACCTTTGCACCTGGTATCCAGTTTCCTCATAGTGGCTAAGAAGCACACATCTATGAGATGGCTACAACCACCTCCTTTCATCTGCCCACCAGTAACTATATCCAGAAGCATAGTGGTTCTGAACTTGGAAGCTCCAATCATCTGTAGCTGACGTTAGGACTAATTCTCCATTTCAACTTAAATCTCCTTTTAACATTACCTAGAAACCTGGCCATCACAAAGCAACTGCGGTGGTTTTTTCTCCAGAACTTACTTGGCACTGCAACTTCCCTTAATTACAACCAGCACCACCCCACTCCCCAAGATCTAGTGCTACCTTTTCCTCTGTGATATACTAAGTTTTGCCAGCTGTTCCAGTTCTCCCCTCCCTTTTCTTGTACAGTGGCACCTTTAAGAAAGGGGTTCCAGTTACTAAAACATACCACTGAAATTGTATTGGTATTGTAACAGGTTTCTAGCAATACAGTCCATAAAGTAAATAGCATGATTAACTTGATCACTGATAAATTGTATTCTTCAATACTGTTTTGACAATATATGTTTTGTTGCTTGTAACTAGTACAGTAATACCTCGGTTCACAAATGCTTCTGTTCACGAACAATTCGGTTCACGAACAGCACCGTTCACAAAATTTTGCTTCTGTTCGCGAACTCTGCATCGGGTGACAAACATTAACTTGATCACTGATAAATTGTATTCTTCAATACTGTTTTGACAATATATGTTTTGTTGCTTGTAACTAGTACAGTAATACCTCGGTTCACAAATGCTTCTGTTCACGAACAATTCGGTTCACGAACAGCACCGTTCACAAAATTTTGCTTCTGTTCGCGAACTCTGCATCGGGTGACAAACACAACCTGCGGCCATCTTCCCTGCTCTGACACATGGTCGTGGCTTCCTGTAGGTGAGGGGGACTCTCCCTCCAAACAATAACCGCCTCCCCACCCATCTTCCTGTCCTCCACGCCAGAAGTCGCCTCAAGCAAGGTTAGTGTTCTCTCTTCATACTGTACTGTACTGTACTTTGTTTCATATTTTTGTGGTTTAAAAAAAAAG